TGTAAATCCCATTCAAAAGGCAAGCGACAAAGGCAGGCTAAGAAATCCTCCCTGTAGCTGGAGTAATGCTATGGCCTTTTAGGCAAAGATGCTGTAGCAATTTGGGGAGCCCCTTTGTACGGCTGATCGATTCAGGCAGGTACACAGATTTTTGGGGGCAGAAGTTGCTGCATTGCTTCTGTAACCCGCAGGGGCAGGCAAGCTGGGTAAGCTCTCCACCAAACCAGCGACGATGGCGCAAACTCTGTCACCACCTATTGAAGACAAAGCACCTGGGGACAATGTGCTTGCCAGAGCTGGGAGGAGATGGCCCTTCCTGACATCTGAAGAGTTGCAAGCAGTGGAGAAAATGAAATATTACCCACCCCAGGACAAAGAGATAGAGATAAAGAGAAACAAAGTGAAAAAAAATGTCACAGAGAAGGACACCAGAAGCTATGGATGGAGGCAGGAGTGGAGCTGGTGAGCATTTGACAGATTGGCATAGGTGTCATTCAAGGTCAGAGAAGTCAAACCGTGATGGACTCTCAAGGATCTCTGTGGGGAAGGCAGCTGGGCTGAGGGCTTTTGCACTTCAGGAGCTTGTTGTTTTTTCTAAGGACGTCTCTAATCTGTCCCGTTTTATTTTGTAAGTAAGTACAACAGCATCTTCACACGGTTTCTGCAAAGGCTATTTATACCTGCATGTCTACTCTCTCCTCTCTGCCCCAGGCTTTGTGAAGATACTTTGTAGGACAAAAGACTCAACATTTTGGGAGACGATGCGCTTAAGCTCAGGTGAGAGCCTCAGGAGCCAGGACTGGATTGAGGAACAGGGAGCAGGAAGGGCTGCTGGACAGATTTTGCACTGTGGTCATGTGCCAGAGGCCCTGCAGTTAAAAGGTGGGTGTCTAGGTATGGGCTAGACCCCAGACACTGAGAGCCCTCAGGAAAGAGCAGCTAGATTTCCTCGTAGCCAGCTTGGGGGCAGCAGGGGTGTTTGGGCAGGTGCCACCACAGCTGCACCACTCCTTGCAAAGCTGATTCATTACCAGGCTCATTTACAAAAGTGGCTGCTTCAGGCATGTGCCCAGCTTCCCCCGTCCAAATAAGCAAACTGGCATTTAAAAGCGATCATAGCTACTTGTGTTCCTGTGCTGCCACACCATTGCGTGTCCAGCTGTAGATTAGTGTGTTTGAGTCAAGTGGCCATTTGTGAAAAATCAGACTGTGCTGGTGTTCAGCAGCTGTCATCAGTTAGCAGTATTTTGCACCAAAGGGAGACTGAAAAGCAAAACTCATCAAAGGAGAGAGGTGGAAGTGGCATCAGCAGCCTCTGTGCTTTCCTTTCACAGCCTTGTCCCAGGGCTGTCTCCTCAGAGCTGCCATATCAGCATGGGTGCACTTTAAAGGTGGTCTCCCATGTCCTCCCCCTCTAATAGTCCTGCATACCCTTCTCAGAGCCCTGAGCAGGGAGACAGCTCTTTTGCAAAATAACTAAAAAGATGAAATGCAGTCCTTTAGCATCTATCTACCCCGCAGTTCTTTTATTCTTCTGATTTGTATTAATATAGCTCTTTCTCTCTTAAGTTCCTTTTATAAAATTCATAAATGATTATAAAAACATGGCTGGCAATGCAGTAGTTTCTTCATAGGCGACAGGACAGTAACTTGCAGGTATGTTTGGAGTAACCCTGATGGTCTGAAAGCACAAGCAGCGGAAGCACTGATGCCCTGCTCCAGCCTTTCTGCTCTGCTCTTCTTCCCGCTGCTGTTACTCATGTCCTGTGGGCATGACCAAGCGCCCCCCACCAGCCCGTCCCACCAAGGGAGGTCTCCTGCCTATATTTTTTTCCATTTGCTGTTTCTACTTCCTTTCTGCCCTGCTAAGGTACTATATTGGGGCGGAGGGTTAATTTGTGAATTGAGCCCAGATGATGGCTGTCAGGCTGATGGACCAGCAACGAGTTCATCAGCCAGCCAGCCTGCCCAGGGGCTGCTTTTCTGCCCAGAGCAGACGAGTGGAGGAAAAATAAGGTTGCCTTAGAGGAGCCCTTCAAGTGAATAATAATTTTGATTAATCACAGAGATCACATCTCACTGGATTTTACCAGTGAATCCGTTTTAATTCTGCAAAATAATAAATTAATTGAGAAGCCTGTAAGAGTAACCAGAGATTTTTCAGTGTCCTTTGTTGTATCTTAGTCTAGAAACATTTCATTCTTTCTAAGAGAGATGCCTTTATTTTGGGTCAAAATTTACACGTTTCTTTTAAAAGTACTGCAGTGCCCTTGTTTAGGTAGCAGGGACTTTTTTCTGATGTGCTTCATCAACACATTTAAGTTCTCATGCATCATTTTTCAAATCTTCCCTCATCAAATTACCACAGCTCTAGGGGTCCTGAAGAAATGAGAGCAATCACTCACTGTAATTAAATGTTTCATATTTTATTAGACACTGCATGCAATATGCGGTGTGGAGGTCTGATATGAAGCCCTCCATATTGTTATATGTCTCTCACACACACATGACTGAATCAGTCAGGACAGGGATTTATTTCTCTCACAACTTTTGTGTTGCTGTGATAGTATTTGGTGTTTCAGGAAAGCTTCATCACCTGAACCAGCAGCTCTCAGGAATGGCCTCTCCTGTGTCTGAGGGCAGGAAGGGCCGATAACACAAAGTCTTCTTGCATTGGCAGGGCCAGCTCTTGTTACCACGATGGAGAGGATAAAAAAGGTGCTTCAGGAGAGGCTCACAAAAGCACAGAGCTTTGCAGTGTGTGCTGGTACCCCTCGTGCAAAGCTTTGAGCAACTCCAAGGGAACTTTATTTCCTCCCCCCGTGGTCAGTCAGCCAGGCTAAACAATTAAAATGGTCTGTGTGAGTCTCAATAAGTTGTCAATAAGTTAAGAGTTTGGCTTTAAATTGTATCACTGGAAGGTCAATAGTCCAGGATTTTGTGGTCTCAGCTTTCAAAAGCTGAGGTGACATTAGTAAATTTATGGGGGTACTTTGGATGGCATTTTTCCCTATTGAGACATAAATTATTGAAAGGCCTGAAAGAAGTAGCTCTAAAATAAACTGAATAAGTGACCACAACCAACAACTCAGAAAGAAAGGAGAGAGAGCAATGCTAGCTATAAATGCAGCCGCTGCCTAATCTCCTGCATTGGTCTTGAAGGACTTGAACAGGAGTTGCTGGGAAGTGATGCTGTTGATCCAGGGGGAATGAGGCTCCTTCTCACATTTACTTATCTCCTTGGACGTATTCTTTGATTTCCAGACCTATTTCTCCTCATCCCCTGGGTAGAAAATAAAAAAGGAGAAACATTGCAAGAGCCATGTGAAACATATTTATTGAAACTCTGATCTCCAGAGAGAGATAGAGGAAAGCATGTAAGTCGCCCTGTAAAAAAAGAATAATTTAATGAGCTGCAACAGAGCAGGAAGTTCAACAGTAACAAAAAAAAGGAAGCCACAAGTATAAAAATCAAGACTAAAACAAAGGAACCTCACAAAATACCTATACCAGCATAGAAGAAAAAAAGGGACAGAACGACCATAAAAGAGATATATTAAAAACGATCTTAAACACGATGTTGAACCTATGCGACATCACACTATACTAGGTTGCTTGGAACCTATACTTTGAGACATCAGCACGTTAAACTCCGGATATCGTCTTGGAAACCTGAGCTAGCGTTGTGTACTAGGACAACTGTGTCCACACCATTGCTCCTGTGGTTCTGGAGGCGCTAGCCAGACCGTGAGCACTTTTTTCTTTCTGCACAGCCAAAGTTCCCAGTCCTTCCTTGCAGCAGAGTAAACAGTCATCGTTTAGTTACAGCAGGCTGCTTGAGTTGCAGGTTGCCAGTATTAACAAGCTGATTTCCCGTGACGCTATGTAGCATAGTCCTGAGAACAGGGCTGAACTGGGAAACAGGGAACCAGCGTGCTCTACCCAGATATGCCCTTGGCCTGCTGTGTGACTGTGGGCACACTGCTCTACCACACACAGACTTTTTTTAAAAATATATTTATATACATAGTGTTACATTTTTGGCCTTCTTGATCCTTAATGTAAGTTGTTTGTATTCATAGAAAAACAAATAATATAGACTGTTTTAATTTTTATGTTAAACCTAGCAGCTCTCTTGAGACAATGAGCTCTCTTCAGAAAACGTCTCCTTCTCAGGAGACGTCACACAGCTCCTGGACACCCTCTAGACAGTGCAAACCTCAGCAACAACCAGGTCATGTCCTCTCACACCGCAGCCCTGGCAGAGCTGAGCACCCTGGTGTCCTTGGGCCATCGGGGGGGACTTTGCAGCTCCCCAGGAGACCTCAAACTAACCTCCAAGTTGGCTCCACGCAGGGGAAGGAGGAAGGTTCGGCCAAGGTCATGGCAGTCCATGTCTTGCCCCTGGTGCGCGAGCGGTGGCAGTCTTGGACCACCCTCCTCCTCACCATGGCTGTGGCAGGGGGCTGGGGCAGAGCGGGGCGCAGGGGCTGCCCCACGGGCGCAGCAGGGAGTGCAGCTCCGGCAGCTGTGGTGGCGCCTGCCCTCAGGGGCTTCACCTGAAGCTAGCCCCTGGAAAGGTGTTTCCCGGGCGAGAACACCCGTTTCTAAAGTCAGCTGCATAAGCAGACAGGGAAAAACCAGCCATTTCGAACCTGAGGTGCGCAGCTGCCTTTGTCATTACCATGAAACCACCTCAAACAGAGGCGGGGGGCTGCGTTTGGAAAGTTGCTGGCTCTGTGGGTAGTGGCAGAATGTGAATTCTAGCAGTTCATCCTTTTTTGAAGCCTTTGAAATGTGCACTTTGGGCAGATGTCTCATTCGTGAGAGGGTTTTAATAAAGTCTACAGCTTTGCAGTCCTCCCTCTGTGCTTCGCTAAGACCCAGTCTGGCGTATGTTGCTTTCTGAGGGACAAGCACCTAAAGCCAGGATATTGTATTGGAAACCTGAGCTACCTTACGCAGCGGCCCTGCGTAATTCTTTCCAGAAGAGTAAATGGCCAGCGATGGTAAAGCAGTGCAAAGGGTAAGACAAATGTACGGCTATTTTTTTCATTTGTTTATATCACATGATGCAAGAACACACCAGAAACTGTGCTAAAGTGCATTATCAAAGGGCAAAATCAAGTAATCAAAATGTAGGGTATGTGGGATACAGATTGCCTGTACATTCTTACCTGTGTTTCTCAGAAGATCCCATAGTAATTTTTCCCTAGATCTCATTAAGTGCACAGGGCAGATGAGGCACCTTAGTGTGCAATTATTCAGTGTTTTATTCCATCCTTGCTATTTAATATGAGGCTTTATATCTTATTTACCACTCATCCCTGTAAATCCTGCTGCGAGGATGAAGTTATTAACTGCTTTATGGGCTTTTCTGTGGTGCCTATCATTATGAAGCCTGAACGTTTCATAAACAGCAATGAATGTATCCTCCCACTAGGTCTGTAAGGCGATGGTGAGCGTTATCGCCAGCTCAGAGCAGGCAAGCTGAGGTACAGATCGACTTGGGTCAGAAGGCGTTCCTAAGTTTAAATATGCACTTTGTAACACACGGGATATTAGCATTTTCATTGCCAGGGAGTTTTTACATAGCAGAGCATTTGCTCTTTCAGGTTTCTTCAAACAATACTGTCAGTCACAGCACTCTCCTGCTTCATGCTTGAGGATGGTCCATCCTATACACTGGATACTACCGAGAAAAACATTGTGACTGTATCTGACGCTTGTGTCACACTGCAGCTGCTGCCCAGATATTTAGATCTGGCTTGCAGTATGTGTCTTACAGTCCACTCTTTCTTCTTGTTTATTTTTTGTCCTTAGAGGAAAGACGGAATTTTTGAGCAGCTGATAGAGGATGAAGGGTGAACACTTCCATCATCTCCTACTGGAGTTAAGACTGGGGCTAGAAATAAGCCTCTCCTTGGCTCGGCACTTAGCCTGGGGAGGTCTGGATGCTGTATGTGCAGAAGCCATAGCAGAAGGAGCCTGTTCAGGCAATTTTCACGTAGGATTTAGTGTTCAATTTCCTAGGTTTTTAAACAAAGAAATGGTATCATATGGTCACTCATGGGGATTATGAGAGGACTATACAGCCTGCATGGGGAACAGCACGGTCTCTCAATGTATTTCCCCCAATACTTTTCCTTCCTCTTCTACTTGCACAGTCACAGCAGCTTTCCCTCTCTTGCGTAAACCTCTTGTCTCCCCTCCTGACTCCCCCTTCTCCAGCCCGTGGCCTCTCCTTCCCCATACTGAAGGTCCAGGCTCTCCTCTTGAGCTCCATACCCAGGCTTTGTCTTTGCACAGTCTAGCAGTATCACAATGGTCTACAAAGGTAGCCAAGAAAAGATACATAAGAAAGAAAACCACTTTTAACGTTAAAGGACAGCACTGGCATGAGAATAAGTGGTTACAAACTTCCCACAGAGACATTTAGGCTGTAATTTAAAGGAAGACGCTTAAATATCAGAGTATGGAGTGGCCTTCCACCCGGACAATGGGCAAAGAAAGGTGCTTTTATGAGGCAGCTGGGTGAGCACCTGGAAGAGGCAGTATATGTGTAGCGCGTCCAACCACAGGGATCCCCTTCACTCCTATGAATCGTCGTCCTTCCTTCCTGCCTTGGTTGCACCAGGTTCCTTGGTCTCATCAGTCCTTTTCCCTTCAGCTCAAAACAGGGTGAGGGGAAGTGCTAGGGTGCGTGTAGCACAGCTGGGTGCACACTGCCTTTTGGGCTTATGTTTAGTGGTCAGGGCTCTCTGATCCTCAGTGCCCAGTCACAGCAGGCAAAAGGGAGAGCTGACTTTGTTCCCCCAGCTGGGGGCTGGTCTCCCAGTCACTTAAGGCGATGGACTGGGGAGAGCTGACCCAGGAGCTCTCTGCAGCCTGGTGTGCAGGGCAGATTTTGCTTGAATAGTCTTCAATATATCATTTAGTAAGATCAAAGTCTCTACTCAGTATAGCTGATTTTACAGTCTTACAAGCTGGACGAATTTGCATATGTTTTTGTGGGATGGCAGAAAGCAGTGCACAAGGGGAAAGCAATCTCACTCAGATTGCTAAATCTTTCCCGAAGGTGACAGGACACCAAAGATGCTCAGAGAAAGGGCCTCAAGAATATTCTTTTAATAACTGCAGAAGAAACATATCTTTCCTAGTTTTATATTTTTAAGTGCCTGGACTGTTTTTTCTACAACTGAAAAAAAAAAAAACAATACTGCAGAAACCTGATGCAAACATCTGGCACACATAAAATCTGTCCGAATGGCCAACATTTGGTGTATAAGGAAGTCAAAACAGGGTCTGACAATGGAAAATGTCTGGTGACCTTGAGAATGGGTGGAGCTACTAGCCCTACCTGCAATATTTAATTCCACCACAAACTCTATGAAATGTTTTGAATGCTCTGTGTCCTCGCTGCATGTCCTGTCATGTTATCATACACCAAGAAGCTCCCTCCTTCCTTATGTGATGAAGACACTGAAATGTGAATACTCACTTGTATTTCATTTTCAAATGTGCTCTGGCCACCAGCTGTGCACGGGATCACATCTGTATGCATATAGAGGAAAATGTGGGTATATGCCTGTGCATGTGGGCACACGCGTGTGCATGTGTAAGGCCATAGGAAATATTTACCACATGACTGATTTCACTTCAAGTTATGCGTGTATCCTGGCATTTGGCTTATGGAGTGAAACTTTGCTCTTCCCTGTGAGCGAGGACTTGGCCCCCTGCACCGCCACGCCAGCTCCCTGGTGAGGATGCACACCCTGCTGCCGGGTGCAGCCTCCCTGCGCACCCCACACCGAAGGTCGGGGGCGGCTCGGGGGTGTTTCTAACCCTCCTGAATGGAGAGGCACAATGTGGACAGGGAAGCGTCGTCTCCATGCGTTGTCTCCACACTGGCCTCTGTTTAGGCAGCGCGGAGAGGGTACTGCCTGCTGGCCATGTGAGAGGGGCTGCCGGGCCACCCTCGCTTGGGGTTTGGCACCAAAGTCCTGCATCAGAGATGCAGAGATGCAGAAATCCCTGCTACAGGCTGCTGGAAAAGTGACAGGAGAGCAGTGTGACTGGAAGATGCCCAGGAGCATCGCTAAGGGAGGATGCTTCTATATTTTATCAACGACTCTTTAATGTAAAGTACAGGGAAAAATGCAAATTTTGTTTAAGACCTACTGTACCCCTAACTGCTTTACTGTGTCTAGCTTTGAGTCACATTGCAGATTCTGACCAGGTAATGACTGGGAGAGGAGTTTTTGACAATATCCTCTAAATGCC